TTTATACGCCACACACACGCACGCACGCGCACACACCCGCACGCACGCACGCACGCACGCACGCACGCACGCACGCACACACACACACACTAAGCCGGCATTAAACTAGTGATCAGTGATTCGGGACGCGGTGTCAAGATGGCGGCCATTCTCAACTTTCCGTCTGTTATCAACTCTATACGTTGGCCCATTCGACATCGCCTTACTAACCCAGACACGAACCAGACACGCATTCGACAACTAACTTTTATCTCGACAATGTTCATAACGAATCCTATTGATAGATGAACTCGCGACTCTCGTCTGCTAACCGATGAGTGAGGATAGAGAGACGTCGGCAGCGCCATCTATTTTTTACGTGTCTTTTCGCTCACTTCCGCTGCCCGCGCTTTTGCCAGGGGGATGGATTCTTATCCATTTATTAGAGAAAAATCACACCTGCAGGCTGCAACCGCGCGCAGTGTACGAAATTCTCCGCGAGGCGAACGCTGAGGGTATTATCAGGAGTTAATAAAGACAAATTTGTCTTTATTAACTCCTGGTAATATGGATGTTTTCCTAGGCAAATTAAGTTAGAGGCTTAGCTGTGGGTGGCTGATTGACGTTACGTGAGGAATGCACGCGTGTGGGCGGTAGTGGGGTGAGCGCATTTAATATCCCCGGATACACGCTTCGTGGAATATAATTAATAGGTAATCACATTAGTTTGGGAGTATCGTCTGTATCAGGAGTGTTTGATATAGATTCTGTGTACTGTCCATATCTCATCTTCACGTCAGGTTTATGGGTGATACATACAGCGCTAGGCATAGGGCACATGACACATGTACGAACGTAGTGTGCCCTGTCAGGAAATGTAACATAACTGCTCATACACCCACGTTCGTCCTTAATGGTCTCCCAGTGCGCATGTAATCATGGAGAATCTACACAGTCGTCCTGAGTATACGTCGCGTGATGTAACGTAGACTCCGGGGACACATCTGTGCTCATTTCATAATCATCATCACCGTCACCTTCCCGCCATCGCCGTAATAACGTTGAAACATCGCAGAACAACACGACAATAGATGGCACGCGGTGATGCTATCAGGATAATATTAATGATTATGTGAACTAAACGTAATTGTAAGCCTCATTATGAACCTCATACTAATCATGTTAACAAACCGTACTGTATGCTAAGCCTTATTCTAACACCGCCTCTACCAATGATCCCGCATTTAACCTTAACCTTGATCCTAAACCCTGATCCTAACCCGACCTCTACCCATGGTCCTGCATTTAACCTTAAGCCTGATCCTATACCCCATAATTCTAAACATATACCTCTACTCGTGAACCTAAATTTAACAATAACACTGATGCTAACCCATAATTCGGAACCTATACTTATAGCACTACATATGATCCTGCTTTTAACCTTAATCCTAACCCCCTCCTGAATCTATCTATCTCAATATCATCAATTCGACTCGCTACTGGAATCTACGACCTTTCTTGACCAAATACAATCTTGATTTCCAACTTAAAACACCGCGCACGTACCCACGGGCGACCGCTGCCGCAATCTCGAATAAACTCTGACAGCCGAAATTCAATTCAGCAGAGACGTCGCTCAAAACCAGTGATTCCCCGCAATTCGACGACCACTGCCGCGAGCGTCGTCGCCGCCGCCGCCGGACGTCGGCCGCTGTGCACGACGGAATCGTCAATAGCTGTCCATCCACCCAGCCGTCCATCCAGCCACCCACCTGTCCAGCCACCCAGCCATCCATCTACCCAGCCATCTATCCAGCTGTCCATCCACCCAGCTGTCCATCCATCCACCTGCCCATCCACCTGTCCATCCACCCACCTATTCATTCACCCACCTGTCCATCCACCTGTCCATTCACCAACCTGTCCACACAACGACAGAATCGTCAATCGTACACGTACCACTTTCATCTCCTTCTTCGTTGTTCGCGAGATATCGATGCTCTTCTTGTGGAAGGACAGCTTTTTGATGACGACCACCGTGCCCTTGTGATGGCCGATCTTGGCGAAGATCTGAGGCGTGAAGGCGACACGAGAGTCGATGCTCACCGAGGACGAGCTCGACACCTGTGATGGCGAGAAAGTGAGTGAGAGACACACGCCACACACACACAAACGCGCGCACGCACGCGCGCACGCACGTACGCACGCACGCACGCACGCACGCACGCACGCACGCACGCACGCACG